CACATAAAAACCCGTTTATTAAACTGGCCAATGCAATAACGCCCTCTAGGGGCTGTCCTGGAAACTTGAAAATAATTTCCAGAGATTTTTCTTGGCCACTTTTATCATAAATATTTTTATCCGAAACTTGTGCGGCAAATAAACTGGGCATCAATTGAAACGTTAATAGTAAAATTTGGCATCAAATTTGACTTTTCGTAATTTCTAAAATATTGAACGAATTTTGAATTGCCGCCCAGATTCTGAATGCCTTTTTCATCGTCTTTCGAACCGTTCCTTACAGCTTCTTCTAAATTGATCAGGGCCCATGATACAGGGTGAAACAAAGTGTCGTGCATTTTGAAAAAAAATTCTCCGCCCCCCCATTTTGTCGGGAGACCATACGATGCTCATATTTTATTCAGGCATTTCATAAATAGCAACCATACCTCGAGACGTTTCCGAGTTTTTGCCAAAAACTACTGTGGTTTTCGAAAAAAAAATTTTTTTTTGCATTTTTTTCAAATGGACTAATCACCTGTATCCTCAAAACGATGAATCAGTCTATTTATTGTCATGACTGACTTTTTGAAAATGGTACTTGAATGAGTTTGGGTATATCCTAATCGTCGTAACCTGAAATAATAATTATCTGTACTGAATTATAGTTTATATCACTATAGTGATCTTACCTAATGATATTTTCCATTTCGACCCGATTTGAACGAGGCATCTTTAAATTTTTTAGGACCCGAATAACACTGACGTTTTCATGAAAATTGGCAATTGATATAACCTCTATGCATACCTACATTGTTTCAACAATACGTTGTTATGTAGAAAACTTTCATCATAGACTGCGAAGTAATGAATTATTGATTGTTTTTGAGTAACCTGGTATACATATCTGCTCCAACGCTTTCCTGAAATGCATGAAAGCATCCATTTATGGAACTCCTCTAAAATTAGTCCATTTGAAAAAAATGCAAAAAACATTTTTTTTTCGGAAACCACAGTAGTTTTTGGCAAAAACTCGAAAACGTCCCGAGGTATGGTTGCTATTTATGAAATGCCCGAATAATATATGAGCATCGTGATCGTCCGACAAAATGGGGGGGCAGAGAATTTTTTTTCAAAATGCACGAAACTTTGTTTCACCCTGTATCACGGGTCCTGATCAATTTAGAAGAAGCTGTAAGGAACGGTTCGAAAGACGATGAAAAAGGCATTCAGAATCTGGGCGGCAATTCAAAATTCGTTCAATATTTTAGAAATAACGAGAAGTCAAACTTGATGCCAAATTTCACTATTAACGTTTCAATTGACGCCCAGTTTATTTGCCGCACAGGTTTCGGAAAAATATATTTATGATAAAAGTGGCCAAGAAAAATCTCTGGAAATTATTTTCAAGTTTCCAGGACAGCTCCTAGAGGGCGTCATTGCATTGGCCAGTTCAATAAACGGGTTTTTATGTGAATTTGATATATCAAGACATATCAAAAACACTTATTTCATGTTCTCGAGTTGATTTCCAATCATTTCGATCATAAAAAATTGCGCTAGCTCTTCAAATAAAAGAGATACAGCCGGCGTCTTTTCTTAGTGGTACACCCGGTACGTAGAAAAATATAGGAAAAATCTAACATCGCTTTTCCATAGCAACTTTTGATGAGATTCAACGTGGTAATTCATAGTCAATATCGATATTGAGTGATTTTTCTCTCGCTATTTGAGTCGGTTTTGAGCTATAACCAATAATGGATTTTTGTTGAAGATTAAGGATCTTAGGTAAAAAAACAATTCAGCGTGGAAGACGAAGACAATGAATTATTGATCAAATACGTCGGCGTTTTACGAAATTTAAATAGCCGAACATGCAGAACATTACCAATTCAGCTGGCTCGTTACTTAAAGAGAAGGTTGTTCGTAAAACGACAAATCTATTTGTCACTTCTTCATGCCGAATAACAATTTACACGCCAAAAAAAAAACGTTGTTTTATTCAAAATGTTGCAGGTATTGCAATGGAACCATTTTAACATTATGGTAACGAGTTTAAAGCCCAAGTTCAGGAAGTCTAGACTGGACAACTTCGAAAATGAATTCAAATTAGGCGATTATTTCTGAATTCGATTTACTGGTTGTTGTATTTTACTGCTGCCAAAAACACCTACATTTTGGGTAGAGTCCAGCCGCTACTTATACGATACGGGCGTCCAAGAGGTTTTAGGCCATCAGAAATGTGGGTTATCTAACATACATGAATATGTCGAGCAACACTCTATCAAAACTCGTTCATCTATAGAACGGCAAAACTTCGTATCGTAAATATCTACACTCAGTTCCAAAAAAAGTGACGCACTTGATATTTGACCTATATTCTTAGAAAACAAAACAAAAAATAGTAGGCCGATTTTAATTTTTTTTTATTTGTTGGTAGGTAATGCATTTGTCTTAAAAAATAAAAATAAAGAGGTGAAAATTTTTTCAAAGCTTCCTTGATGGTGGTGGAATAACTCGAACCATGATTTATTCTTGATTTCTGACTCACCCTGTGTGTTAATTGAGTAATGGCATAGTAAGTGCTTACACCCTATACGAAAGAGGCTTCTTTTGCGAGCATTTTGTTTCTTTATTCATTGATTTATCTCTAAAAATTTCCGAATTACAGCTTTTTTTGCTGAATCCTTGCAGATTACCAACTTTCTGAATTTATCGAGAAACAATTTTCTAATGAAATAAACTGATACCAATAATTTTAGAAAACATTTTTATGGAACACAAATTGGGATGCTTGATACCGTGTATTGCCTCCTCTAGCAACTCTAAGAACTTCTAATCTACACGGCATACTGGAAATTAAGTTGCTTATCGTTTCCATTGGTATACGATCCCATTCTTCCACTAATGCATCTGCCATTTCTGCGAGACTTTCCGGAGACCTCTCGCGAGAACGTACCCTTCTCCCTAATTCATCCCACAAATGTTCTATAGGATTCATATCGGGGCTTCTCGCAGGTCATTGTAATGCGGTAATACCAGTAGCTTCTAAGAAGTTTCGCACTATTGCTGCGGTGTGTGGTCGGGCATTATCCTGCATCAATATAAAATTATTGCCCACTAACTCTACATAAGGTAAGACATACTGCTCTAAAATGTCAATGTAAATTTGAGCATTCATCGACTGCCTCACCGGAAAAACATGAAGGGTTGTCTTTCCATTCATTGAAATCCCTCCCCACACCATAACGGACCCACCATTAAAACTTTCGCATTCTGTTATTAAATTTTGATTAAATCGTTCACCAGTTCTTCTCCACACTCTTTTTCTTTCATCCACCATGTTAGGACAAAACCTTGACTCATCCGTAAACAAGACATTCGACCATTCAGGAATATTCCACTGTCCATAATTTTCAACAAAATTTCTTCTAGCAGCACGATGTTCGGGCAATAATTTGGGACCTTTTGCAGGTCTCCTAGCTTTTAAATCAACTTTTTTTAGACGTCTACATACCGAATTTGGCGAAGGTCTTGCTGAACATTTACCGCAGTATTTGATCGATTCCGTAAAATCCGCAATCTCAAGAAGCGATCATCTCTTGGAGAAGTTTTTCGGGGGCGACCAGAACCTACCCTCCGAGCGGTGCTTCCTGTTTGTTCGTACTTGCGGATTGCTCTACGAGCAGTTGCTTCATGAACTCCCACTGCACGAGCGGCGTAACGTTTACTACGCCCATCGTTTACTAACGCAACTAATCTTGCTACTTGTTCAGGATTTATTTGAGCCATTTTATGTAATTTCAGTCAATAAAACAAGACACTTAATTAATGACACAACGACAAATGGTTAAATATGGAGGCATACAACAAATTAGTTGCTATGGCAACGGCATTTGTTTTTTTTAAAGACAATGTGATTCTAGCAGAATACAACCCAATCAATTTTGAGTACTCTGAACATCTCTCTCTGAACCTTCAATAAATTTAATTTGTGGGGTAAGCGTAAGGTATCAGCAAAAAAGCTGTAATTCGGAAAATTTTAGCGATAAATCAATGAATTAAAAAACAAAATGCTCGCAGAAGAAGCCTCTTTCGTATAGGTTGTAAGCACTTTCTATGCCATTACTCAATTAACACACAGGGTGAGTTAGAAATCAAAAATAAATCATGGTTCGAGTTTTTCCACCAACATCAAGGATGCTTTGAAAAAATTTTCACCTCTTTATTTTTTTTTAAAGACAAATGCATTACCTTCCGACAAATAAAAAAAAATGAAAATCGGCCTACTATTTTTTGTTTTTTTTTTTCAAGAAGATGGGTCTCGAACATTAACACGCTCGCTTCGCTCGCACGTTAAAATATCTCGATCATTAATCGCCCTCATTAATACACTAGTTGGTTAAATAACTATTGTAATTGTATTTATTTGAATAAAAAATATCTTGAGCAAAACGGTATTAACGAATTTTTTTTATCGCTTGGAGCGCACAAAAAGAAATCGCTATAATGTTCAAAGAACATCGTGCGTTCCTAGGGAGGATAGAGACAGGAGGTAGGTATTGGAATTTTTTGAACTTCTGGAGATTATATGTCGTTGGGAATACTTCCTCAGGCAATGAATTCCAGGGCCTAGCTGTCCTATGGATGAAGGAGTTTTGATAAAGTGCTGTTCGACAACGAAAGGATGTGCTGACTGGGTTCGTCTAGTTTGTCTGACTGGTATTGCTAGTGAAGGGATGATAGCAGAGATTTCCGAAGAACATTTCCCGTGGAAGTATCGATAGAAAATTGAAAGGTCGCCGACCTTTCTACGGTGTTCCAATAATGTCAAAGAGTGAGTGAGTGTGGCGACACTCACCAGGCGAATGGCTCTTCTCTGGATGGAATCTAAGAGCATCAGCGTATGTTTTGGTGCTGAACCCCATATGTGGGAACAGTATTCTAGAACAGGCCGTATCTGCGCTTTGTAGAATTGTTCCCATTAATTAACGCTGCAGCAATTAAAATAAATTGTGTTTTTATCATTTTCAGGATACATCAAATCATTCGGAACTCCTGAAATTACTCTTTCCCTGAATCTTACTGATCCTCAAGATGTGATTGTTCAGAAGGGCCAACAAGCAGTACTAAAGTGTCTGGCAGAGTCCCGAAAAGGGAGTGTTCAGGTATGAACAACTATATTCTTGCTAATGCATTGCCCCAGTAACAATTCAAACTCCCTTGATATATTTCATCTAGAAAATTCCAGATTGAATATTATCCATTAAATTTTTTCCTCAGAAAATTGTCAATTTTTAAAATGAAAATTCCAAAAATTCTCAGTTTAACAATCTCAACAATTTTCTTCTTCTCTACTTCTGTCCAAAACCACGTGACTCGGTTGGCCAATCAAAGGCAGACTTTCAGATCGAAGCACTGCCTACTTCAGAATTAGTGGGAAATTCACGTCGAAATGCATCGAGAAAACGTGAAAAAATCGCGCATGCGTCATGGTTTTTCGATGATGTTCAACGTGAGTTTCCCGCGATTTCAAGAGTGGGCTGGGCCTCTGATTGGCCAGCCGAGTCGCGTGGATTTGGACGAAAGTTACCCGACAGCTACTACACATGAGCCAAAGAAGGGAAGATTTGTATTTCGTTTTTTCGTGCAAGATAATTTATTCAATATTCGTAGCAGAGCAAAAAAAAATTTCTAGTTGGAGAATAGGATTTTCCCTTTAAAATCGAACAATTTGGCCCACCCTGTACACCAGAGTAGATTTGTAGCACTGATACCGTTTTGTGATATATGGTGTACCACTCACGCGGTGTTCATTGTCGAAGTATTGTAACACAATAATTGGAGATGTATATCATTTAATCATTTTGGCCAATGTTTCTGATCCTAAGATGTATTATAACACTACTGATGAAACAGATTTCATCGATTGATCCTCGTCAGAAGAAGTAATTGATACGCCATCTAAATTCAAGAAACTGTAAATGATTTCATCATCACTGTCCTTTTTTATGTTCGAAGATTTTTTACCATTTTATTAAAATACGCGAAATCCTACTACACCACAAGCAACGAACATACCTAGGTGCTACACCATTTTCAATTGTAAGTCAGAAAGTGTAACTTGTAATTCGAAATAGTCAATTGTAATTCAGAAAGCGTCACTTGTAATTCAGAAAGCATCACTTGTAATTCTCTCTCTCTTTTGTGTGGTGAACATCAATATTTAATATTTTTCGACCAACAAGGATATCTTGGTGTGTTGTGCAGCGCTAGCACAATCAACTCCAACAATTATTATTGTATCTTTTCAGCCTTGTCAATATTCTGTATAGGTCGCGTGCACGATGACCGATTCTGGAGGTAAAATATTGAAACATAACCTCACTCTTCTGTGAAACATTGAAAAACAACCTTACTTTTTTTATTTGTTTACAGACGAATCGTGTTTTTTGCGCTATTCATTAATTCAAGCATGCCTTCTCATTGTGCTGCTGTACAATACACAAAAAATGCAGCGAGAGACGAAGGAGTATGCTTTTTCAGGTACATAGTAATCTCACATAGTTTTCATCATGGAATTTTGTCATTTTTTAATAAAATTCCTTCTGCCACTTCTGTAATAGAAGCTAATACTGCTAAAAGATTGAAAATGTCTACAACACACACGATCATATTTCGTCAGCATGTCAGACCAGTCCTCCCGTTTGAGTGTATGAATCCAATCTTCTTGCATTATTTTAGAAATTTCACGAGTATTTCTATTAGTTCCTATTGCAGAGGGAATTCCGATGAGAAATCAGAGAAATTAACAAATTTCAAAAATTAGGAACTTAGTTTCAAATCATAATGTACCAACCGGATTCCTTCGTCTCCCGCTGCATTTTTTGTGCATTGTACAACAGAACAATATGATTGCATGCGCGATTTAATGAATAGCCGAAAGACACGATTCTTATGCCAAAATAATTTCGAAAAACTATTCCAATCACTTGTAAACAAATAAGAAAAGTGAGGTTGTGTGTCAATGTTTCACCTCCAGGGTTGGTCATCTGACAGTTCTTGCACGCAACCCATCAAGATCAGGATGAACAAAAGATGGTGTAGAAACTCCTGGCCTACTTGTCAGATAGATTCTTTTCAATATCGCGGAATATAGGTCGCATTTTACCCGTTAGATGGCGAAATCTCAACCAAAATTCAAGGTTGGTAGAACTGATGATAATTAAAATTCCCCAAAATTACAGTTTCGTATCTCATTTGATTTGAGTTTATGTTATGAATGTTATGCTATTCTTATTTCTGGTGCAAGCGGTGTGTAAGCGCCGTTTTCTGTTTTGTGTCATGAAAGATATCTGTAAAAGGTGTCGCCATCTTACGGACAACTGAGAACTAATATGCCATTATTGCGGAATCTGCGGTCAAGCGTTTTGGGACAAACAAAACACTGTCGGTGATTACACCATGTTAAGATATAAATGTCGTTGTTCTCCAACACCCGGGCCTTCAACTTGTGGTACTGGAAGATCAACTTCAATATGACACTTTATTTTGGACCAGATTATTCAATTGGGTTCAACATTAGGGAGGCGTATTTACTAAATATAAACTATTACAGCACAAGACACGCCCCCTACTACGGCATTGCAAAATATAATCGAGCCCAGCACAATCCTGCAAAATCTAATCTTTGACAGCACAACGTAGCTGATTCATATAAATAAATCGATTGAAAAAGTAGCACATACCACGTTATATCTCATCTTCAAAGTACTTTACTTAGGCAAAACTCAGAGACTATTTATCCTCAACGAACTAACCTTAATGATATGTAAGTTTTGTTCACTATTTGTAATTTCAATTATACAACAGTCGATAATACTTCATGAATGATCTTATACCAGGAATTACTGTCTGATCATTCATGTCATTCCTACTAGAAAATTAATTATACTTTATATATTATTTGTATGAAATGTATCAATGAAGAAAAGAATGTAATGCAATAACTGAAATAAATAAATAAATAAATAAATCCCTGATTGCAATATTTTTGAGGAAGGAAAACCGAATGGAGTGTAGAAACACATTGATTAATAATATATTTCAAAAGTTGAGTTCTTCAACAAAATTGAATAAAATAAGACTGTTTATCCTAAACGCACTAACCTATTTGACTTCAAATATTTTATGAAAAAGGAAAACCAGAATGAAGTAAAAAAACATTGGTGAAAAAAAAAAGTTGCAAAAAAAAGTTCGAGTTCACAGCGATTCGAACCATGAACCTTCAGACTGAGAGTCGACAACGCTAACCACTAGACCATTTGGGTGTATGAATTTACTGCGTACAAGAGATTGACAACGAGAAAGCTTCAGTTCTTGCGTTGGAACACAGTATGAGATATGACGTATTATGGTGGGCGTGTCTTGTGCTGCAATAGTTTATATTTAGTAAAATCGCATTAGGGAGTACGGACCCAAACGAAGAAGACTTGCTCCAGTTCCGCCCAGAACCTTTTTATATCTGTACACCTGCGGCTGATATTGCTTCAATTTAATGAACGTTGGTTCCCCTTGCAGATGGAAACTGTTTCTGTATTACAAGTGATACTTTTCAAATCACAAATTATGCTTCCTGAATAATAATTCTGATTTACATTTCACTATTCTGAATTTCAAGTCATACTCATGGTTATTTCTTTTCCTATTTTTCAGATAACTTGGCAACATAATAACAAAACAATTCTGGAAAATTCCACAAAGTGGAAAATACAGGAAAATGGTGACCTCTATATACCAAAAGTGTTTGGTAAGAAGGCGAACGGAGTTATGGGAGAGTATCGTTGTTTGGCTCGAAATCAAGCAGGAGCTTTACTTTCAAGTGTGGCCAAGTTGAGCATAGCCTGTAAGTGATACCAATGATACCATATTCACAGATTAACAGTTTGTCCACTCTGTGCCAAAACTATTCCTCACACTGTTATTTCTATTTTTCTATAATTTCTATTTATTCCTTGTATCTTATCAATCAATCGAATCTAGGTAATTTAAGTCTTTCCAAGGCAAAAACAGTATAACACAAAGTCGGTCGACCACAAAAATTATATTAACAAATCAAGTTTGTGTGACTAGTTTCGGCTCAACGGCCATCTTCAGACACATAAAATACCTGTCAAGGTAATGAAATAACAAATAGACAATGAACTATTGAGGAAAAAAGTTACGTCAGATGTCATGTGGAGATAAGTTTAACTAAAAACTAGGTCCAAAACCGGAAAATCAGCCAGGTTAGGTTGTAGGTAGTATGTTGTTCTTTAAATTGACTAAACAGCCACAAGAACAATTAAATAATGCAATTCAACATCGGTAAGAGCCGGGAATTGAGATGTGAAATTATAAATCAAAATTCACCCAACAGGAGTTTCATCATCTTAACTTTTGATTTACTATCTACTGACATCCAATTGGTACAAATAGATTCAGAATTTTGATCACCCTGTATCTGTTCCAATTAAATGTCAGTAGATAGTGAATAATTTCGACACAAAAAAATCCTGAAGTTGAAAAATCTCGATTTTGAACACCCTATATCTCTGTAATCATTCCCGCTAGACACCAAGTGTGATGCATTGATGAAAGCAGCTCTTCAGGGAGAATCTAAAAATGCAATGAAATACAGGGTGTTCCATTTGAAAATCAAAAGTTGATGCCCGTTTTGCTACAAGGTTTCAACTTTGGAACATGAAAATTGCAGAAAAATGTGTCTCTCGCCAAATTGAAATCGACCTGTCCGAGCTATTTTCAATTTTTTAAACGACATCGGAGATTAGGGTGGTGACAAGTTTTAGCTGGGACACACTGTATATGAATTTTTAAGCCTTATAATTAGAACATGATTGAAGGTCAGAATGATATACCTTAAAACTATTTCTAGTGTAGGTAATCTTCACTAAATCGTTGGTTGTGTAAATAATTTAGAATCTGACACAACGAAGCCCGCCTAGTTCAAAATCATGCTAGGTTATAACGAGAAAAAAACCATGTGTCTAATGAAGACGATAGAGCACATATCATAGAGTTGCAATGTTATTGACAGAATAAATTTAATTGATATGATTGCATACTAGGGTATCGAATCTGGAAGGTTAGTAGGGGCGGCAAAAATTAAACAGCCTATTGGCGGCACATTTGTAAATCCGCCTCTGTATACTGGTCATCCTAACTATTCCCTATCACCACTCTTATCTAGCTTATATGTAACTTCTTAATCATGCATTCAATATATCTTAGTCATACAACTAGCACCCGTCGATATTCTGAACATAATACGGGGTGATAGTACTGAATCAAACAACATATATCGAGACATTTATAAATAATAATAATAATAATAATGATAATGCTAGTAATGAATGTAACTTAGCTTTGCTATCTTTGGTGTGCATTCGAATACACATTGTGTGGAGTAGAGTTTACTCATTTGTGTTCAAAGTTTGTTAGATTGTGTACGTTTTACTCTATGACTGTCGTTCGTAAATACTGAATGTTTTGACGTCGAGTCAACTTGTAACTCCACAGATTTGACAAGGTTATTACAGGGCAAACAAGGATGAAAAAATTTTTTTTTTTGTTTCAAGTTAGGTTAGGTCAATTTGAAACGCATTATATGATTGCTTTTATATCTTAAAAGCATTCAAACTTGGTAAGTTCTTCTTAACATTGTATTTTGATGTTGAAAAACATTATTAAATCTTCAGAAAGTGAGACATTAAGGTTCTGTTGTGTGTACTGTTCTGTCACAGATTAACAAACCTTTCTGTTCTCATAACAAAATATTCAATTACCTTTCAAATCAATTATATATGTACCTATATTGAGGTTTATTGTATATATGCTTTATTGGTATAGCAGTACCTACCCTAGACGTGGTTTCAACATTGATAAGCGGCAATCAACATTATTTATTTGCAACTGGAATATAAGATCAACCGGTAAAACTGCGATGGGTTTTTATCTGAAAATCACGAATTTGATAATGAAAATGTGAACAAACCACTATTTACCTAGATATTCCAAGAAGTTCGAAATTTCGCCTTTTTGTCCCCCTGTTGTTGGATGCATTTACAGGAGATTTACAGCTACTTGCTCTTCTTATTTTGACATTGGACACTTTATATACTCATGATGTATTTATTGTATTTCAAAACACATTTTTATATAGAAAATTCAACAGAAGATATGATTTTTATGACGAGTTTTTTATATTTAGTGAACAATTATACCAGATGACGGCCATTTATTCAATAGTCAATCCAAATACGAGATGTCGAATGTCAACAGATGGCTTTTGAATGACATTACACACGCCATTATTTTAAATGATATTGTTCCGTCTTTTCACTAAATGAATAAATCGCAAGAAAATCATATTTCTAGTTGACTCATATAATAGAAAAAAATGTTTCATTGAAGTACATTGTGATATATAAATTGTCCAATGATGAAAAAAGAAGGGCAAATTGTTCTAAATGCGATCCAAAAGACAGGCGGAAAAGAAGGTGAAATTTGTAACATTGTAGTGAAATACCTTGATAAATAATGGTTTCTTCATATTTTCATTATCAAATTTCGTGTGTTTTCAGACAAAAATACGTAAGTACCAAACAAAATTTTTGAAAAAAAAACATCGCATGATAAATGTAATTTTACCCTCGGATGTTAATACTTAAGACTCGAAAGTCCGTTCGAAAAATGCGAGGAATAGTTAATTAACTCAGAGTAAACTGGTGGGTCTTCTCTACTCTGAGAGTTAATAATCAAACGCACCCCTGAAGTGTTTTAACAAGTGTTATTTCGTTTTGTGAGGAGAACATTTTGAACATGAGCATTGCATATTTGGAATTGTCAATAAGGATCACATTCCAATTTTTTCAAAGTTGAAAATGAAAAGTCAAGAAGGTCAGAATTTTATTCATGCAATTTTCATGTTCTTCATGCTGGACTTTACTGCTGAAAGTTTGATAAAACTTATAGTTTGCCAGTGTCATTATTTTTTGTTTGTTTCAGCAATGGAAAAGGAGTTTTCGAGACACCCTGACAATGTTACAGTCCCTGAGTTCCAACCCGCGATATTACAATGTGGGATACATTCCAATCCTCCTGCTGATATTCAATTTGAATTTAATAATACCATTCTACCTCATGAAGCAAGGTATTAAATATAATCAATTGACGATTTTAAAGAAATGACATCGTTGAATCTTCTAATATTTCTAATATTTTTCAGATATGTTCCTTTGTCCAACAGGGCTTTATTAATTGAAAATAGCCATCTCTCAGTTTCTGGAACCTACAGGTAACTGACAAAAAAAATATATTTTCATTATCCAATCAAAGTTGGTAGAACTTAGGATTATTATAATTAGTCCAATAAATAAAGGGAAAAAGTTAACATTAATCACGTACTATTTTCATCTTCCGGTTGGAAGTAGCTTTTGGTACCTCATTAAACATGAGACAAAGTTTGACTGGAACACGCGTGCGATGGCGGAGAAAATGGCCCCAAAAGACCAGAAAAATAGGTTTTCAGCTAATATCTCCTAAAATGTGGCAGTTAGAGATTTTCGGTTCAAATAAAAATTGAAGTTCAGTTAATTTTCTACAAAAATAGTCCTTATCATTTTTCTCGAAAATTTGGCCGGTTTCGAGAAAAACGGCACGAAGCGCACCTCGAATAATGAGCTTCTGTGTTGTATGCCGGAGAGCACAGTCCGTGTATTTACACATCGGCGGGGGGACAAATTATTCAATAACTTTGTTAAAAATGCATATTTTCTCATGATTCAAAGTTCATGTGAAAGAGGAATTCTGCTGCTATCATACCCTGTGAATTGAGTCACGCTTGACTCTTTTGGTCATATCGGAACATGGGTCAAACTTTCTGCTCCCGGTCAATTTTGACCTCGCCAGGAATTTGTTTCTATTTTGTTTTGTATTGTACTAATTTACTCAAAATTTTCTTGATTATGCTTCCTCATTAGGTCCTTTGTCATCCCTGAAATTTGTATACCCTATTTTTTTTAAATTTTCATTTAATCTTTGTTTATTGAATCCCAATTTTTTGCTGTTTTTGGAGCGCGGGGAAATTTTGTGAACAACCATCAATTAAAAATTTATACATGATCCGATTGGTTTCTATGATACATCATTTGAAAGCTAAGAAGGTCTACTTTTCGATTGTGCAATTACTTTTTTAGACGAAGTCGTCCATTTTTCAATAAAATTAGAAAAAGCGGGCTCAAGGAAAAAACGCACTTTTTTTTCGGTGGTTTTTTTCTCCGTGCTCTTAATTTCTAACATTTTAACACCTTAACTAGTGTAACGGGGGCAATCCCACCTTTCCATCGATGTATATAAGTCATATACCTTTGATATCCCGGGAAAAAACCAGTATATCTAAATGTACACGCTATAATTTATTACTTTCGTTCCTCCGTCGTTCGCCACGTGTGTGCTCTACGTGGCGCTCGGGTCGTCTGCTACAAACCATGCGGCCACGCAGGGTATGATAGCAGCAGAATTCCTCTTTCATATGAACTTTGAATCATGAGAAAATATGCATTTTTAACAAAGTTATTGGATAATTTGTCCCCCCGCCGATGTGTAAATACACGGACTGTGCCCTCCGGCATACAACAGAAGCTCATTATTCGAGGTGCGCTTCGTGCCGTTTTTCTCGAAACCGGGCAAATTTTCGAGAAAAATGATAAGGACCATTTTTGTAGAAAATTAACTGAACTTCAATTTTTATCTGAACCGAAAATCTCTAACTGCCATATTTTAGGAGATATTGGCCGAAAACCTATTTTCCTGGTCTTTTGGGGCCATTTTCTCCGCCATCGCACGCGTTTTCCAGTCAAACTTTGTCTCATGTTTGATGAGGTACCAAAAGCTACTTCCAACCGGAAGATGAAAATAGTGCGTAATTAACGTTAACTTTGCCTTTTTTTCCTCCTTCATTTATTGGACTAAATCAGGTTTACCAACCTTGAATCAGATGACGTATGATGCCATATTTGGATTTGGACGAATTTGTTGTAAAGAAATTCATCTTCATTAAATTCACATTATAAAAATATAAAACATTGAATATAATTGCTTACTGATTTGTCAATGCTGAATTACTGACAATTTAGTCATCATAATGTTGGATAATTCAGAACTGTTTCTTAAATTTGTCATCAGAATCATGGATGATTCAAAACTGTTTCTTGAATTTTTTGAGAAGGCAAATTCAATTGAATGAAAGAATGCATCGGTTTAATCATAAATTAATTTACAGGATGTCCCAGAAAATGTGGGAAATTTCCCGGATTTGAATAGGACACAGAAAATGATTTCATTTCTTCAAACACACTTTTCTGTTTGGAAAGATGTTTTGTTTTGTTCAAATTAAGTTGACGCAATTTTGTAGACAATTTAAACTCAACGTCCGATACAGTCGGGGAAAATACAATTGAAATTTAGGTCTACATTGATGAAATATCACCCCAAAGTTAATGTTGAAGAAAACTGATAAGAGACTTGAATTTGTTAATTGGATGGCCATTATTTTTGAGAAGTATACCCATCAATAACCGCGTTAATTCAAATCCAGTAATTTTCAAATTCATCACAGTGTCAGGTCATTGTTTTCTATTGAATATTCCCAAATATAGACAATTTTGGGATGAAGTTTTCATTTTATAATTCTTTTCTACTGAACCTAACCAGAAATAGAGAACATTTTTTTCTTACTGTTTGAACTTCAAATGTTTTCTGCTGGGGCTGCTGCGCTAAACTTTTGAATGATAATACCAACATAATTGTTATTTTTTATGTATCAAGGTAAGAATATCCATGACCATGAACCAGATTGAGTCTTACCATTCTGCTGCTACTACATGTAGCATTTCAGATGTGAAGTTATCAAGTTTGTTTCAATAGTTTCACCCTTCTGGTATATTTTTTCTCATTATCACGATCATATAATATTTCCCTATTATGATTCCTTCCTTCCTGGATCACTTATTTGTGAAACATTGATTTGTTTTTACTCATCACTCATGATTTTTCTTTCATCTCTTGACAAACTACATATCATGTAGGTTTGATTTATTATCAACATTATAAAGATGAATAAGCAGTTCCTATTTTTCTCTTCTCAGCTTGCTGCCATCATTTCAATAAAGTGCTAACAGTAATGTTTCATCACAGCTTTGATGATGATTAGTTTTGCAATTTCTATACTCTAATTTATCTATTTATTTATTTATTTATTATTACATTGACAATAGTTTTTCTTTAAACATCCTGCTTTCATTATGTATGTGTTTATACTTGAAATGGTTCAGCATGAGAAAGTTTTGTTCACATACTTGACTGAAAGATGAATCTTGACAGGAATACGAAAAATTGTTACGACTAGGATCACAAATGAAAAATTTAGTTTCAAATAAAGGTCATTGGTTCACAGGAAATATCGTCGATATGGGCGATTTTAGCATATTATTTTCCAATGATACCATTGCGAAGTTTCTAAACTGAGCTTACTGATCTGTCACAAAAAGTTGAGCCAGTATACACAGATTGAATATTATATAAAATAACATTTTTTTATAAAGACAAGCTTTTATGAACAATGCATATTCATTACATGTTTGAACTAGCAACAAATCGTACCGCGCAAGATTTCATATTTTGTATCCGCGCCAAGCTTTTCAACCTGTTGCTCAAAGAATAACCTAGATTAAACATGAAAGAAACCATTTTTTCCTCTTTAGTGTCTTTAAAAATGTTTTTTTTGTAATATTCATTTTTTCCTCTTCAGTGCTTTAGTATAAAAGCTTGGCTTTGCTTGTACTTGTAAAAATACCCGACAACAAAAGCCTCGACATACAAATTTTGAATAGAATCGGATCATAGCAAAACTCGTTCGCCATATTGGATCCGCCAACTTGAATTTCCCAATTTTGACGTAAGAATCATAATCTCTGACTCCGAAAATCCCCAAAATTTTGAATACAATCGGATCAAGAGAATTACAAATCTCGTTCGCCATACTGGAGCCGCCATCTTGAATTTTATTTATCAAGATTTGATTACACAGACAGACACAAAGACACTGGGACAGAGTAAACTAAATAAAAGCTTGTATAAAAAATATCAGTTTAGAAAACAAAAGAAACACGCTTTCATAGATAGCCAAACCAAATGTGTTTCTATATTTTTTGTAAGTACCCAATTTTGACGAGTGAATCATAATTTCTGGCATTGAAATCCTCTAAATATCAATTTTGAATAGAATCTGATCATAATTATAAAACTCGTCCGCCTCAACCAAATTGAAAATGAAAGCTGATTTTTACTAATCAGACTGAATATAATAATTCCAGTATATTTTTATCATACATCTTCTTACTGTGATGCCCCATTAATTATTCATTGTTACATATTAGGTAGATATGTCATATCAAAACATGACCATTCAGACTATTGCCTTGAACAGTAGAACGGAGACGAAAACAATAGATCTACTTTTAATATAGTAGGTCTGGCAACGCTGACTACGAATCGACACGCGTTAGAAAATGCGTGTGGCCTCTCGTAGTTGACGTCACGAGCTGTTTACGTCAGAGACCTCTGGTCTTGTGTTCACGTGGGTAACGGTCAAAATCGATCCAAAGGAGTTGACATATACAGTTGTATTGAAAAAAGCGTACAAGTATTAGAGAATCAGTGAATTCCGCAAAAATTCCACAGAATTGGTTATAGGTATTATGGGTGTTCATACTGCCCAAATTTGGTAAAACATGCACGGCTATAATAGCTGATATCTAGAGGGGGGGGGGCTGTATAATATCCAGAAAAAAATATTTTAAGAAAACTCGAAAATCTGTGGCCATAGGATTGAGAAAATTCAAAAATGGATTGTTAAGCATGGCGATCTCAAATTCAGTTACCTATTCGTATCCGGGAGGTTCCTCACATTTTCTGTATTTTGATTCTTATTCGATGATTCTCGAATTCGCAGATGCAGAGCAAGAAACAATATACTCGATAAGATAAAATATAGTAAGATAGCTGTAGTGAAGGTGTTGCCGAATGCGGACGAACCAGTGGCACCTAACTTTCTACCTCTCGATATTAAGCTGAACAATAACGTCAACGTAGGTGAAAAATTCACCTTATATTGTGCTGTGATAGGATGGCCTACACCGACGGTACAATGGCTTAAAGGTGAGTAATAACAAAGTATTTTAGATATATTATTTTCCTTATCCACTGCTTGTACTTTGTAAAAAACCTTGTACACTTCAATGTCTCTATCACTGAATTCGGAAAATCGTGCACCACGTATTGAAAAATTCCGTATTCGGTCCACCCTGTACAGTACATCCCATTTTGGTTGAGACTGTCAGGTTTCTCGGTTGTTATTGAGGATAGAGCCTTGCGCTTTTCACGTTCCTTGAGTAAAAATAAAAGGTATCATACTGTATATATGTTATCACAAAATATCACAGATTCCGGAAAATATATGAAAACAACGGTGTTCCATTAAAAAAAATGATTTGTGGTCTGTCACGCTTTCAGGGATCACCCTGTAAAACTCAACTTCCTTATACCAGAGCTTGATTCTGACTGGAAGTCACATTTTCAATAAATAAATAAATATTTATATAAATGGTGATGTCATGGATCATAGTTCATTCTTGACTTTTTCGATTGTCCAAATATTTCTCATTCTCCATAACAAAATATCATGTGAATGTTGGAGACTTGGCAACATTGTGCTGAATGCTGAGAACTGACAAGACCACGCCCACGAGTCGTGCGCGGGGTTGTCACGTTTACCATTTCAAATGTCCTCTAGTGTGAATTAATATAATTATTATTTACACAAATTTATTATAAGCAAATCATTAGGGAACATTTTGTTACAATTGATTTATGAATTATTGAATAACTAATATTTCTGAAGTTCCCAATCGTTATTCAACACATGGCAACTGTGCTATGGTCTGCCCTAGGGTCCCTTGATGGAAATTGACGTTAAAGTCATCTTAACAGGGTACGGACAGATCCTCGTCTCCACTCACTTTAAAGTGTTTGTGAAACAGTTATATAGTTCCATCCTTATTCAATTCTGGGGATAAACACTAGATTTTTGACATTCATTGTTTTCTAGGTTACATTGAGGTCACTGGCGTATCATAAGTAATTTCCATATGGAATTTCTGATTCAACTATACCAAGATATAGATGAACAATCCTCTAGTTTTAGAGTTGACTACTCCAGCATAATCTTTGCGAGGTAGGAAACACATAAATTGTACTGAGAGCTTAATATATTTCAGCAAAAGAGACTGTTTTTAGACGGTATACCAGGGTTGACTGAATTGACTAAATGAATTCTGATTTCAAGCTGAGCAGAAGTTTATCTATGAGCTGAATGAACTGAGCCTCATGATTGAAAAATGGGTATACGCAGTATAACTTATAGACACGTCATTTTCACTCTTGCATCCTACATATTTTTTATTTGTGATAAAGTAATAATTATTTGAACTAATGTCTTTCGCCATATTGGATCCGTCATCTTGATTTTTTTAATTTTGACGAAACAATCATTATCTCCTACCCCGAAAACCCCTAGATACCAATTTTGAATAGAATCAGATCTTCATTACAAAACTCGTTCACCACATTGGATCCGCCATTTTGAATATCTCCATTTTGACGAAATAATAATAATCTCCGACCCCGAAATTTCCCAGATACCAATTTTGATTTTTGAATAGAATCGAATCATAATTACAAAATTCGTTCGCCATATTGAATACGCTATCTCGAATTTCCCATTTTGATAAAAAATCATGAAGTTCGACCCCGAAAACCCTCAGAAGATCCGTCATCTTGAATTTCGCAAGTTTGACGAAACAAAAATATTATCTCCAACCCCGGAAAACCCCAGATACCTTCCAATTTTGAATAGAATCGGATCATGACAAAACTCGTTCACCATATGATCTTCCCCAACAAGTAAATACCCTGTACATACCTATTATTAAAATTTTGAATGATTTTCTGTAACGCAATGTCAGGGATGCCAGTAGACAAAACTAAAGTCTCTAGATCATTGAAAAAGAATGCAGCTATATGATCTGTCCGTACGCTGTTAAGATGACTTTGACGTCAATTTCAATCAAGGGACCCTAGTCTGCCCCTACTTACGAAATCGTGGCGTCAGTTTTTACTGGCGGTAAATTTCACGCCTTTTGAAAATCACCGTGGCATTATTGATGATTATTGATGAAAAATTCTTAAAAATATGAAATCGAAAGGTATTTGAGTGATGATTCTATTTAAGAAATGAAAAAAAAAATAGTCCACTCGCCCATTACTGATAATTTCCAGAGGACCGCGTGATAAGCAACTCGACAATTCTGGAAATAGCAGTAGCCAGAACGTACCACAGCGGCAACTACACGTGCCTAGCCTTCAATAAAGCGGGGCGCATCAGCCAGAAACACCGCGTGGAAGTACAACAGAGGCCCTTCTTCAAGGAAACGCCGCTCTCGAAGTACTATCCTTCGGCGATGACGGCGAGGCTGAGGTTTGTTCAATCCAATACTTTTTTTCAATAAAAGCCTCGATTATTTATACTAACAAGATGAACCATCCTTATGAGAGCAAGGAAGCCAGACATTCTATGCGGCAAGGTGGGTAGAAATGATGATAATTTGTATGGGTTGCGTGCAAGAACTGTCAGATGACCGACCCTGGAGGCACAACATTGAAACACAACCTCACTTTTCTTATTTGTTTACAAGTGATTGAAATAGTTTTTCACAATTATTTTGGGATAGGAATCGTATTTTTCGGCTATTCATTAATTCGCTCATGCCATCACATTGTGCTGTTGTACAATGCACAAAAACTGCAGCGGAAGACGAAGGAATCCGGTTGGTACATATTATGATTTAAAAGTAAGTACCTACTATAGTCACTCAGATATAGTTTTCATTTTTGAAATTTGGTAATTTCTCTGATTTCTCATCGGAATTCCTTCTGCAATAGGAGCTTATAGAAATACTCGTGAAATTTTTAAAATAATGCAAGAAGATTGGATTGATGCAATCAAACGGGAGGACTGATCTGACATGCTGACGAAATATGATCGTGTGTGTTGTAAACATTTTCAATCTATTAGCAGTATTAATTTGTATTGCAGAAGTGGCAGAAGAAATTTTAATAAGGAATGACAACATTTCATAATGATAACTATGTGAGATCACTATTTACCTGAAAAATCATATTCCTTCGTATCTCGCTGCATTTTTTGTGCATTGTACAATGGCACAATGCGAAGGCATGCTTGAATTAATGAATAGCGCAAAAAACACGATTCGTATGCCAAAATATTGTGAAAAACTATTTCAATCCTTTGATACCTCTGTAAACAAATAAAAAAGGTAAGGTTGTGTTTCAATAATTCACAGAAGAGTGAGGTTGTGTTTCAATATTTTGACTCCAGGGTCGGTCATCGTGCACGCGACCTATAGGATGGTTGCTTTGATCGATAGTGACTCATCTTTTGGAAATGAATGGAAACTCAAGCTAATTCACTTGTCTTATTACCCTGGAACGAATTTGAACAAGAAGCGACTGAACAAAATATCATTTTTACATTTTTAAATTCAAAAATACTGACAACTGTCACTTCAATACATGCGTCTGCGTACATATCATACACGAAATGTACGAAAGTGTTACATTTTTCGTGCAAAAGAAAGGGCCTATTACGTCACGAATTACTCGTGGGGTGCGATCGAGGCAACCTTCCTCTACAAAATATTCATCAGTTCTACCAACCTTGCTATGTGGTAGATGTGGCGGTATCTATGAGCGACGAGGTGAATTACAGTTTGTTGAGTAGCGAAGTGTAGATATCGGTAATGCAGAATATATTCCAGATATATTTTAGGTGTTTTTATAGAAGGAATGTCGCATCATGGCCGGATAAAAATATTCTTATTTGAAGGCCTTCATAACATCAAAGTTAGTGATTTTACTGCTTCAGTAAGGATATTCCTAGATAGGAATAGGATATTCTTAGAGTAGCTTATTTTGGACTGATTAAAAGTGAAATACAATATGGAATACTTTTATGGGGAGCATCAACTGCTGCAGATGAGATCTTCATAATCAAAAAAATAATGATATGGTAGAAGCAGATCCCAGAGAACATGCAACATCTTTTTTCATTGAGTTTGAAATTCTCACAATAGCTAGTTTGTGCATAATGGAAGTGATCATATTCATTCACAAAAACAAAAATCAGTAAAATACTGAATCGATGATTCACCACTACAATACGAAAAATAAGGACCTAATTAGTTTGAACAAAGTGAACTCGGTGAAATCTGCTAGACATACATAATTCTATTACTGTGAGATATAATGAGCTCTCATTAAAAAACACTACATAGGCAAAGTAATCGGCCGAGGTCGGGGCTATCAGCTACGTAGGAGTGAAGGAATCGGCATGGATCCCATCAAATAAGGATATCGATAACGAGTTATGTCTTATGTAGAGTGTAAACGTTAAATCGCGGTATAATACTCATGGACCAATTTTACCTTAAAAAAATTGTTATGGTATGTTGAAAGGGTTCAAATAAATAAATTAATAAACGTGCACTTATGAGTCAGACTTTTTTCTCCATACCCGAAGTTTTTAATTTCACATAGAGTGATGACCCTATCAGTGAAGGAATACAATATTCGTGTGTCCCAGCTAAAACTTGCCACCCCAGGTCGACTTCAATTTGGCGGGGGACACATTTTTCTACAATCATCGTATTCCAAAGTTGAAGTCTTGAAGCGTAACGGGCATCAACTCTCGATTTTCAAATGGAGCACCCTGTATTTCATTGCATTTTCAGATTCTCCCAGAAGAGCTGCTTTCATGAATTCATCACACTTGGTGTCGGAATGATTACAGAGATATATGGTGTTCAAAATCGAGGTTTTTCAACTTTGGAATTTTTTTGTGTCGCAAACTATTCATTATTGGTCAGAACGACTCACATGTCCCCATTTTAACTTTTGATTCACTATCTACTGATATGCAATTTACCACCCTGTATACGTTCAAATTGAATATCAATAGATAGTAAATCGAAAGTTAAGATAAGATAGGGCCGTTTTGACCGATAATGAATAGTTTCGACAGTAAAAAAATACTGAAGTTGAAAATCTCGATTTTTAAACACCTTATATCTCTGTAATCATTTCCGCTAGACACCAAGTGTAACAAATGTGACAAGTTTTAGCTGGGACACACTATATACATAAAATAACATCTTAAATCTTGAATTTTTTTTTCAATAATACGTACATACAATAATATGTATGATTTTATAGAATTCACCTTTGCAGTCTAGTAAAGGTACAGTTTGGGACTCATCTAAACATGTTTCGTTGATTATGTTCCATGTAATAAGCTAAATATTGTATATTTTTGAAGCCAATAAATATCTATCTATCTATAAATATTGTTAAGCAACTTGCAGATAGATGGACTCGACCAGATTCCGAGAGAATAGACAAATCAGTCATATTTTGCTGAGTCGCTAACGCCGCCTACGAACCAGCTAAGAACTAAGGCCAAATTTGGCATGGAGGTAGATCATCTTGTTAGTGTAAATAATGAAGAATAAAAGTAAGAATGAGCGGTTCAACTTTAGAACCAACGTTCACTCTCTCACATGCTCAGACACAATAAAAATCGAATGTAGTATGATTCAATCACAACATCTTGAAATTATAAATGCAGAATGATTCAACTATTCCATTCTATATCAAGGTGCAGTGCCGGGGGAATACCCGAACCGAGGGTGACTTGGCTGAAAGATGGGCGGCCTTTGAGGTTCGGAGCCCGAATAAAACTGGATAATGTCACGTTGATACTCAGCCATACGTTCACGACAGACTCAGGTAAGTCATCTTGGCTTTGTAATGTATTCCAGATAAGAGTAAAGTACATGGTATGGATGACTGAGCACGCTTCACACTAGGAAACCCGACAAACAAATATGATCCACCAAATATCGCATCCATATAAGTTGCCTAATAACAGAGGTATTATCTTCTGGTTTATAATGAGTGTTGCCAAAGTGCAACAGCAGCAGCATTTTGTTTGTACACAGAAAGGTTTACGTTAAGAAATCATCCAACACCGCAAAAGGTCGTTGATTTGGTGCAAAAGTGTTGTGACACAGGGTGTATGAAGGAACAAGAGGACATGTAGGAACGCCTTTACCACTCGAAATGGTAAATTTACCAGTACAGGACCAATTCTATCGGCAAGTTTTTGAACTTATTATTATTCATTTTGCAACTTCCATAATAATGGGCAATTTTTGGTGATTCTGTCTATTTTGATGAGTTCTACATTCCTTTGAAAAAATAAAAAACAGTATAACTTTTGAGAACACCCTGTACTTTTGTGAAGCTGACATCGATAATATATTTTGTTCAAAATTGGGGTTGAAGTATCTTGGTGTTTGTGGCTAGTGAATCGGTAACGGCTGACTATGGAAGCAGCTGGATGCTGATGGAAATCGAATCTGTGTCCTGCGATTATTGTAATTACACTACTTTAACGGTAGAGCCACATACAAAATATTGATAGTCTATCACCTCAACTTTTGGTTTTATCTCAGACTGTTCATAAACAGCCGACCGGTAAACATACCACTTCCATTGTTATAATCAATAGCGAAATCACTAGTGTGAACTTGCCTGGCGTCTAGACCAACGAAAAGCAATGTCAAATAGGCCCTATCTCACTAGACGCTATTTTCTTAACTGGAATACAGGGTATTCACGACGAGCTTACACTATCTTTATATCGAGAATCACTCTGGAGAAATCCTTGAAAATGTTCATGCTTATATTTCAGAATACGCTCTCTTCATTTCAAATATTGGACAATGGAGTGTTGCCGCTTCTACTAGAAAGTAGTAGCAACATTGATATTTCAAAAGGAACACCCTATATTTTATTTTTAGATTCTCCCTGAAGAGCTGATTCCATCGATGTATCACTTGGGGTCTATCGAAAATAATTACACAGGTATAGGGTGTTCAAAATTTAGATTTTTCAACTTTAGGATTTTTTTGTCTCGAAATTATTTATTATCGGTCAAAACGGCTCACATGTCCCTAGCTCAACTTTTGATTCACTCTTTACTGATATTCAATCGGAACACATTATTCAGAATTCTGATCACCCTGTATCTGTTCCGATTAAATATCGGTAAATAGTAAATCAAAAGTTGAGATAGGGTCATAATAATAATAATAATAAATGCTTTTATTGAGAGGTTACATACAAGTACAGAAAACCTAACAAGAGGCAGGATTCAATATCTGCGCATGAAAAATTCATAGCAGAGCTTGCTCTTTCATCCAACCTTGAAAATATATTCATGTTCAAACCTAACTTTGAACATACATGATGTTTAATGGAAATAAAAAAATAAAAAAAAGTATCCGTTTTGGCCGATAATGAATAGTTTTGACACACACAAATTCTAAAGTTGAAAAATCTCGATTTTCAATACCCTATATCTCTGTAATCATTTCCGATAGACCCTAAGTTTGATGTATCGATGATATCAGCTCTTTAGGGAGAATCTAAAAATGCAATAAAATACAGGGTATTCTATTTGAAATAACAAAGTTGTTGCTACTTTTCGATAGAAGCGGCAACACTGCATTGCTGAAAATATTTCAAATGAAGAGAGCGTTTTCTTAAATATAAGTATGCATATTTTCATGGATTTCTCCCGACTGATTCTCGATATATACAGATAGTGTAGGCTCCTCGTGACATACTCTGTATACTATAGTGTTGATCATTGTAACTGTGGCCATAGTTCTACTTTATAATTCACACCAATAATCCGTACTATCACTAGAGGTTTCTGAGGAACATTTTCCGTGGAAGCGACTATAGGTGCGAAGTAGTTTTTCGCACGGAATAAAAAGCCAAATTTCTATGAAGCAGCTTTCAGATAGATCAGACGTGATTACTGGAGTATTACTGATGGTGACGCCGAGCATAGATATTGTGGACTTTGTGGAAATTGCTTTTTCATATCGAGCATACTGAGTTCGCATTTTTTTTTAAGGAAAATACAGGCACAAGTTTTGGTGGCGTTGAATTCAAGCAGGTTTTCCCTTCCCCAGCTTAGAATTTCAGCAAGATCTTCATTGACGACGCTGACTTGACTTGTTCGCGACTTCCTATTCCTCTTATATATCAATATTCCGTTGGGAAGCCGGACTCTTGATTTTGTATCATTCTAGGTATCTACCAATGTGTTGCCACGAATTCTGTCGGAAGCGTTTGGACTGCCGCCCAAATAGAGATAGCTGGGTCGTCCAGTCGGCCTCATAGCTTGACGTGTCGTCCTCTAGATTCTTCCAGGATTTGCCTCAGCTGGAAGCCTCCCCACAACAGCAGTGCCCAGTTCTATAGTGGATATTCTTTTTATAAAGGTAACTTTTTGGGGACAGATGGTCAATATAAAGATATATCAAACGTCTCGACACGTGTTTCGCTAACTATGTTAGCATCCTCAGGAAAAGATTGAAACTGGCAATTTTTTTTCAGCAAATGGTTCTGAAATCGCAGGACCCGAATACGTGACGAATTTGACTTATCAGGAGGTCACTGGTCTTTATAGCAGTACCACCTACATGTTCTACGTTCGCTCGTATTCCAATAAAGCGAGCGACGCCTCGGAAAACGTCACCTGCACGACCGGTAGGGCTCCTCTCGGATTTCCCGTGGCGCCAGATCGATTCGAATTTGATTTTTCAGGCGTTATGGGAAACCGGAATTTGGATATCGAGCCGACCGGAGAGAATTCAGTCAGTTTGAGGTGGTCGGAAATCAGCAGCGACGTGACGTGCAGCGATAAGAGATTTCCCTATAAAGTCCAATGGAAGAGGTTGGATCAGCGGCTCATCGATGTCATAGAAACGGAGAACAGATCTTTGATTATTAATGGTAAAGTAAATTTGTGTTGCGTTGTTTTCTACAGGATGATTATTTTTTTTACTAAAAATTGAAGCGGTATAAATCTGCGAGAAGTTTCAGGGACTCCCAAGTAGGGGGTAATGTCATTAGGTATTTATTTATTTATTGAAAATCAATCAATCACTAAGACAGTAAGTAATATGGTCCACTAAGACAGTATTTAGACAGCTTCAACCTGAGTATATTGTGGTTGATTTCATCAAGTGCTTTGCTAAAATCAGTGTATATAGAATCGACCTGAATTTGACAATCCATTGCAGATAAAATATACTCGCTATACGAAACAAGATTAGTTTCAATGGACCTCTTGAGGATAAAGCTATGTTCCTCATGAATGATATATTCTTTGACTGTATACAGTGTGTCCCACTTACCATGCTCACCATGGGTATCTTTTTAACGGTGAGAGATACGAGGTCGGTTAAATGACACCAAATGTGGAGTTTGTCAAGGCCAACTATAATGTGAAAAAATATTTCGATAAAATCTATTCGTTTTTGTTTTATACGCAAAAAACAGATTTTGATCATTTTCATGTTTCCTCCGTAACTTCTTTATTTATAAAAATATTCAAATAGGAATTTCTCATTCTCATGGCAGTTTTTCAAAGTGATTTCGAAAAAAATATAAAATTTTCACCAACTCTTCTAGAATTTGAGATATCAGCACCAACTTTAGTTTTTCAAATGTAGGTCAAAGCTCACTATGACTTAGTTACAAATAACTTATTTTTCTCTCACAGATGATATGTCGCAGTAATAGTTTTGTGTTGATAACAACGGAGTTATCGTCATTTATACAAAAACAAAAAATTATTTGGAAGCCGCCATCTTGAATTTATAAATTTCAACAAAAAAATTAGGATCTCCGACCTCAAAAAGCCCCACTTACCAATTTTGAATGGAATCGGACCAAATCTTGTCCGCCATCTTGGAGCAGCCATTTTTTTAATTTCAACAAAAATTTCATAACTCCGATTGACTTGAAATTTGGCAGGTGTTCATAATTTCGGTGACAATACATTATGGAATTTCTGTTGAAATTAAAAAAAATGGCTGCTCCAAGATGGCAGACAAGATTTGGTCGTATTCCATTCAAAATTGGTGAGTGGGGGTTTTGAGGTCGGAGATTATGATTTTTTTGTTAAAATTTATGAATTCAGTGTGGCGGCTTCCAAATAATTTTTTGTTTTCGTATAAATGACAATAACTCCGTTGTTATCAACACAAAACTATTACTGCTACATATCATTTGTAAGAGAAAAAAAAGTTATTCGTAACTAAGTCATAGTGAGCTATGACCTACATTTGAAAAACTAAAGTTGGTACTGATATCTCAAATTCTAGAAGAGTTGGTATAAATTTCATATTTTTTTCAAAATCACTTTGAAAAACTGCCATGAGAATATGAAATTCCTATTTGAGTATTTTCATAAATAAAGAAGTTACGGAGGAGACATGAAAATGATCAAAATCTGTTTTTTTGCGTATAAAACAAAAACGAATAGGTTTTATCAAAATATTTTTCCACATTATAGTTGGCCTTGACAAACTCCATATTTGGTGTCATTTAACCGACCTCGTATCTCTCACCGTTAAAAAGATACCCATGGTGAGCATGGTAAGTGGGACACACTGTACATTAGTGTATGTAATGAACACGAGCTACAATGCTTCCTCGAAAAGATTTGAGCGTTCGGTTAATAGGATTATCATGGTCACAAAGAGGGAGAAACTCAAAGCCATTACCACAATAGCTCATAAAATGAACGAAAATGGTAGATAACGAGAGAAAAGCAACTACCTTCCTGGCTATATGCCAAGCAGAACTCTGAATTCAATCCTCCCGAAATCTCGTTAAGACGAATACAGCAGCAAGTAATTCTTTCCTAAATGCTGAGTTATGCTTGAATTGTTCAGGAAGTATTTATTCCCTTCTACTCAGGTGGTGTTCGTGTCCATCTGGCAGATGTCGAACGCCTCGTGGGTATTAAATGCTGGATTGTGTTTACGTTGGGTCCGGTTCGCACCAGATGGCGAACATGAATGCCATCTGGAGACACCCCTGCACTGATAAGAGCCCGAAGCTCTCAAGAAAGTGATTGTATCAGTTCCATAATGATCATCTGTAATCTTTGGTTTTTTCTTTTTCGTGAATACACACACTTAAGTTTGCACTTAGTTTTGAATAATCCTCGTTTTTTTTTTCTGATTCCAAATCTTGATTTAAATCGAACAAATCAGTTGATTCGAATCGTCACCACCCTGATCACCAATTATTCTAGGTCTTCTTCCGGGTACGGAGTACGGCTTCAAGGTCACCTCAGCCAACGAAACCGACGGCGGCATGTGGATCCTATACACCACCTCCGACCTCTCGAATACCTCGAGCGGGAATCCCTCGCGTTCGGACGAATCCGCAGCGAAGCCGCCGCCGCCCGAAGCAATGCGAGTCTCTGCACTATCGCCATGCTCGGTGACGTTGCGTTGGCAGTCGTTGCACAGAAACGTCAAGTATTTCACCATCTGCTATGCGGCAGTGGCGCAGAACGTCAAATGCGACAGCAGGAAGAGGTGAGTGAAATAGACACCGGGATTCGTTCATAAATCATCGAAAAGCTTACGTCTACAATTCTGTGTACGCCGAACACGAATGAATGAATGAAATCGCGAAATGTGGGGATAACTGCGGAATCATTACCAGAGAATCGATATTCTTTATAGTATAAGATTCCAAATGGAGACATCGTAGGTAGACATAATTTCAACACTCAAACACACCTTTATTCACTCAGGACGGCTTGTACAATGATGACCGTTTATAAAAATACAACATCGACAAGTGATTCGTTCGAATGCTACATACTCTTCGACTGGACCTGCTTTGATAATCGATGACACGATGATTACGAATACCGATGAGTCGTCGAGGCCGTTTGTGATAAGGCATTCCTTAGGTATTCTTCTCAATTACGGGGTGATTTGAACATCGTCGCTAACAATTAGTATATTTGATATACAGTGGCGGCTCCTCAGAGGAGGCAACGGAGGCTGAGCCTCCTCAGAGATTTTCCTTGATCTGATATTATCTATACTTTCTCATTAAAATGACACCAAAATACATGGATTTTGATTTTATTTCCTGTTTTTAGGTAAATATTATTGAATTGGCAACAGTGCTTGCCCACGCATCACACGTTGAAGTCTGCAAATCACGCGTAAAATATTCAACTTGGCAACATCTTCAGGAGGCTAGACTCCTTCACAATTCGCAAGCGCAACCTTGAGCGCAACCCACTCGCGCAATGCAAATGCCCGAATACGCCCGAATAGCACGTGTTTGTCGTGTCGCGTCGCGAATTGCGGGCATTGATTATGTTTATGTTGGGTTAATGGTTAGGGGCTTTATGAATTTCTGAAAAATGAGTTGTTTTGAACGATTGCAATTTAGTGGAATACTTTTTGGTGAACCCATTCAGTGCTTTGTCTTATGAAGATAAATTGATTGTGAAAAACAAACGTCCGACACCGGAATTAAAAAATCTGATTGTAACAGGTAACAAACAAAATCGTTCGTTCAATTCTGATAATTATAAAAAATATATCTGGCTGACGGGATCTGAGGTAAGGAATAAGCTATTTTGTTGGTACTGCGTATTATTTTCAACCAATAAGTCATCATGTTGGGGACGATTAGGATATAATGATTTGAAAAATTTGGCTCGCGGATTGGATAGACACTGGGAATCACAGGAACACATCTCTTCAAGTATTAAGTTGAGGTTAACTGGTAAACAGAATGTCATTAAATCTATTGATTTGGGTGAGTAGAGAGTTGTTTTTCACAATAAATCCCATATCATTCAGCCTCCTCTGTCATGAAAGTCACGAGCCGCCACTGTTGATATATCTTATGAATCAGGATTTCTGTAGCCGTTCTCGGTGACGTTGAAGTGGCAGTCGTTGCACAAAAATGTCAAGAATTTCACGATATTGTCACAAACTGTAGGCGGGGGTTGCCTAAGTTGTGTTCTACATCCATTAGAGAACTTTGAAAGTGATAATGATAAATAATACTCAGAAGGTTTTCGAACAAAACATACACACACATTTATTCTTGGCAATGAATAACAATGAAATCAAAACTCAACTCATCCTATATGTACAAATTAACTGATATTTCTGGAAGCATGAGGAAGGGCATCTTCTGTTTTGCCCGAACTCCGAAGGTTCGGGCAGAGTGGCAACTTTTCAAACTTACAATTGATAGAACTTGCACTTTCCTGACTCGTACTCCAAAGGACCAGAACTCGAACTGGCATCTAACTGTCGAGCCCGCTTCCTTACGTCTTTTAAATATAGTTGTCTATATTTTCGGAAACGTGACAGTGAGGAAATCAGGTCAATAGTCCAGGTTCGTTGAAGTCAATGTCTCGCCTGTGCTTATGTTCAACTACTATAAAAAAAGTTCGTTCATGATTCGAAAATTTTGGAATTAATGAACTAAGACGTGACCCGTTCAATGACTTCGAACCCTTTATGAATTTAAATGAAATTTAAGAAAATAACCCTATTCGTGACACTATGCAGCGGTGGCGCAGAACGTAAAATGCGATAACTGGAAGTGAAATAGACACCGCGATTCATTCATAAGTCATTGAAAAGTTCACGTCTACAGTCCTGTGGGAATAACTGCGGAATCATTACCAGAAAATCGATATTCTTCATAGATATAATTGAAATATCTCATAAATCAGGATTTCTGTAGCCGTACTCGGTGACGTTGAAGTGGCATTTGCTGCACAGAAACGTCAAGTATTTCACTATTTGCTATGCGGCGGTGGCGCAGAACGTCAAATGAGACGACAGAAATGGGTGAGTGAAAGGCACAGTATATTATCTCCAGATTGGATAACAATAAACGAGCCCTGTCTCAGTGAAGTTGGCCCAAATATCAAAAAAACGTTTTTATGAAATTTTTCATATTATCAAAAAAGTATTGAAGACTGAAATGTGTTTCTGATCACATACTATATTTTTATTTAATATTATTCTAAAATACTAAATTTTTCGTAACAAAAAAAAGATCTTACAAAGTAAAAAAAAGCCGATTAATAAAAATTAACGATACCATGCTAATAGCAGCAAATCACCACTGATGCCTTACATCGCCTTTTCGACTGATAACTGCTTCGATATGTACCTAATGTCGAACTGTGTAAAGCTATTAAAAAATTTCTTAGAGACGTGTTCGTAATACTGGAACGGTTCGTGCAAGATCTGGACTACTCGACGTTCATTTTAAAACTAGAATATTGTTTTCTATCAACCAATCTTTTTTTTTTAGCCGTATGACGAGCGGCACCAACTTGTTGGAAAATACATTCAATAGAGTTTGAACGCATTTGTTCAATATGGGGCGTTGGGGAACTTCACTGAGACAGCGCTCGTATAGACACCGCGATTCATTCATAAATCATTGAAAAGTTTACGCCAACAATCCTTGACTCTAAACACGGATGAATGAATGAAATCGCGAATAGTGGGGATAATAACAGACGATGTCCAGAATACATGTACTTCTTTCAAAACCACCTTGTATATTGTCGTTGAATCATCTAGCCAAAAAACACTCGAACTTTTTTAATTGGATACGTTTCTTATGAACTCAAAAATAAATCGAAAAAGCTCTTGTGTTTTTAATGTTGATAAATCAAGTCCTCTCAACAGAGAACGCCATTTTTGACGATGACGTGAATAATTTTGACATCGATAAAAAAAGGTGCATCCTTGGTTATTAATTACCAGAATTGGCACTATGAAGGCGCAAATTCATTACTGCATGGAAGATACCCTTTATATTTTTAGCTGTGCAGTGACTTGACCGCGAATATCATTGACGTTTTAGTCTTCTGCGCAACTTAATTTGGGATGCCACGTGTCGGCTGTTGCCTGTGGTAGTACGATCGAAAAGTGTTTGGTTGGAAAATACAAAACACATGATTCTTTTATATATTTATTTGAAGGTTCGAAATATGCATTGGGCTATTGGGATAGTTTGCAATTGATTTTTCATATACTGTATAAACCTTTTTTTTTTCAGTTTCACAAACGTATTTCAGATCGACCACTTGACGCCAAATACTGCTTATCAATTCAAAATTCGAGCTCATAATTTTGAAGGTGTACCAGGAGCATTTTCAAAGCCATTTACAGTTCGTACTCCTGCTGATGGTGAGTCAGTAAGATCAGTTGCCTCATATGCTTTTTCGTTATAGAATACTGAAAAAAAAACTTCACGGACGATACGATTTTTACTAGATTCGTAATAACAGGGCATGTTTCGCTATTACAGTAGCTTATTCAAGTGGAATTCTGGTACAATAGATTAACCCAACATTGATTCGCCTCTTCTATACAGGATGATTTACGTAGGCCACACATTAGAAGTTTTCCAACCAGTTTTATTAAAAACTCAAGAATTGGTATGCTGTTAAAATCGATAATCGATTATTTCCAATCTACCCGAAATATTTAGTCCTCCAACTATACAGGGAGTGTCAAAGGTCGGCACCAGCTTTCTTACTTTCAATATAGACTCACTTTTTTCTTTATACAGTTCAGTTGGCATTCTGATTCTATGTTTAGGCAGCCTAATTTATGTCAACTAATTTAACATAGTTTTTAAGATATGTTGATTTTTCTGAAAATAATTACCGCCGTAGTAGATCACGAAAACATTGACGAAAACTGTTTTTGGTACCATATGGAAGAACACTGAATTTGAGGATGAATAACTTTAGCATTCTTTATACCCAACTCAAATCTATATGAGTTATTAGAAAATCAGAGCATACTCCACATTAATTTTGAAAATCGAGATATTTAAACCTATATTCTCTGAAGGGGGATGATGATAATAAAACTCCTTGAAGCAAATCAATTTCTCTGCAATAATAATTCTTCAAAACTTGAAACATAATTAATAATGTTCTTGACATCCTGTGTATCATAACTAACAAAAAATCCTGAATAAGTGTTCTAGAAGTATCTAAATGTGATCATATTTCAATATCCTTTGAATGAAAATAGACATTCTTGATAAAAAACGCTTTGTATATGATATCATTGTGAAAATGAGTGCTAACATTATTCATTGTCCATCAAACCGCGCCAAGATGTCCAATATGTCGAACGAGCTATGTTATAATGAATAGTGTTTTAAAAAACTATGGAAACATGCTTTCATAGATAGCTAAACTAAAAAGAAGTAGATAATAAATAGTAAATACTGTCTGTAGGTTAATCGAGGAGGTGGTACATTCATTATACTTGATTTTTTGGGATTTTCTCCTCGTTTCTATGAAATACAAATATGCGTATTATTTCAATATATTTGTAGTGGGACAAATCGGATGATTTGCCCCAAAATGTCACAGCGTTTAACAAATTTTTTTATCAGGGAGCCTAAAAGAAAAATCCAGTAGCTTGTCAGTGACAGTTTGTTTGAAAAAATGTTTGAGGAAAGAAATATAGATATATTGAAAAAATATCGAATTTTTAATTATCTTTGGACGTTTTGAGACCGAATCTGCTCCCGTTATCAATATGAAAATGCAAAATATTTTTCTATGGAAGTTCCCGAAACGTCCAAAGATAAGTAAAAATTCAATATTTTTTCAATATATCTATATTTCTTTCCTTCAAACATTTTTTCAAACGAAGTGTCACTGATAAGCTACTGGATTTTTCTTTTAGGCTCCATGATAAAAAAATTTGTTGAACGCAGTGACATTTTGGGGCAAATCATCTGATTTGTCTTACTACAAATATATCAATACGCATATTTTTATTTTATAGAAACGAGGAGAGAAAACCCCAAAGAATCAAGTAAAATGAACTCCTTTCGAATTTCCTTTCAGTTCCGTCTAAAATCGAAAACGTCAAATACAATCTGATAAACGACAGCACCGTTCGGCTGCATTGGCGAGCGCCCTCCGACAACGGCAAAAAGTTGCTCTACTACAACATCTCCTACACCTCCGACATCAATTCGCCGATAGAGAGCTGGAAGAATGTGACCGTGCCGGCCGACAGCGAAAGCGTCTCCACCTACGTGGGGAATCTCACTGCCGGCGCCCATTATCACGTGATGGTGCGTGCCGTTTCCGAAGTGGGGATCGGCAAGATAAACGCCCTGTTGGAGTTCAGCATGACTAGGATCGTGCAGGACTCGTCAGTGTCGGGAGACGAGAGTCGCTATCACAAGAAAGTTGGTGAGTTCATTTTTTTGTTTTTCAATGGGGAACTTACCTTCAGATGAAATTTCATGAAATTAGGTCGGGACTCCTTAGTTTCATGTCCACGCTGTAGAGAATGGCGATCAATAAATTCCGAGTCGTTTTTATTTCCAAAATGAAACGATTTCCAATTTTCGTGGCGGCAAACTATGATGTACAGTGTGTCCAGTTTTCGATGCTTTTGCCTGCTATCTCAGTTATCTTTGGAGATAGAACCTTGCGGTTTTCGCGGTCCTGTGCCACTTTTTTGTGAAACTCAAGATGGCCTAAGCAGATTTTGCAGGACTGTTTCCGTTTATGAGATACAGGGCGATTTTGAAAATTTATACTTTTTGGACCCCCTCTATATCCACGAAGTTTCTCAACAAAAATGTCAAATCAAAATCTTATTCATTGACATGTTCAAATTGATATCCATTTTCCACAACATACAGTTGACAAACTTTCTCAATACTTCTTAATACAGTGAGTGGCCCAACATACTTGAAGAACTTTGTGCAACAACAGAGGCAGTTTTCCAGGAATTACAAAGACATCTTTCAATGATTAATATGTATTGAGAAAGTTTGTGATGGAAAATGGACATCAATTTGAACAATTCAATGAATAAATCACTGAATAATTTCGAAATTCAATTGTTTTAGTAAATATTCAATCAGGTGCTTATTCTACATTATAAACTTTTCATTACTATATATTTGTGGATATCAGGTACCTGACTCTTGTGTATTGCAAGTTAATTAGTGTTGAAATTGTTATTTCTCCCTTCATGGAACAATCAAAGGAAATATTCCTTCAATTGTAAATTTCTTTATATGAAAATCCCTCGAAAAACCAATAGCCCACTATTAAAACTCAATGTTTTAGTGATTTAATGAGCCTATGAAATACAGGGTGTTCAATTCAAAAAATCATAAGTTTGAGTCATATTTTCAAAACCACACCCCGAAAAAAAAAATTTGTGCGCCACTGAATTTTGCATAAAATTCTCTATGGGTTATGATTTTAATTTGACATTTTCGCTGATAAACTTCGTAGATATAGAGGGGGTCCAAAAAGTATAAATTTTCAAAATCGCCCTGTATCTCATAAACGGAAACAGTCCTGCAAAATCTAATTAGGCCATCTTGAGTTTCACAAAAAAGTGGCACAGGACCGCGAAAACCACAAGGTTCTATCTCCAAAGATAACTGAGATATCATGCAAAAGCATCGAAAACTGGACACACTGTACATTCTGAATTTAGTCTGAATTTATTTGATGATGAAGAATATAGCTTGCGAATAGCTAATGAATAAAAACAAATAGAAGAAGAAGACAACTTGGCTTCGTTATTGATTATATCAATGATCAACTAACTAACAAAACAACTAAGGAAACTGGGGATTAAAAATCGACACAAGTAAAACTGGTAAACGAAAAAATCCATAACCACGAAATCAGATCCGCTCTCGGTGTGCCTGTTGATATTTTGTGTGGTGTGGAAGGGCTTAAAGTATTATGCGCTGTTGCAAGATATAATCTGCAATTTTCCTAGAAAATAGATATCGTTTTATGAAGAATAAACGAATGCATTTGCAAAATAATGAATGATGGTGCGCGACGTTTCTGAGGAGGGTATCGGAAAGATAAACGCCCTGTTGGAGTTCAGCATGACGAGGATCGTGCAGGACTCGTCAGTGTCGGGAGACGAGAGTCGCTATCACAAGAAAGTTGGTGTTTATTTTTTATTTTCCAATGGGGAACTTTCTTTCAGATTGTAACCATACCCACCCGGGTGCAATGAACTCAATATAAACAACTGGAAGGGAGACGGCCGTTCTCTCGAATAGCACAAAGTGTGTCAGAGGCAGCTGCAACAAAGATAGCATGATTTACGGTAACCTGTCTCTTTCCTACTCGTGTTGTTTGATGGTGGATTGGTGTTTACGTTTTCTTTTATCTAATAATTGAAGTACTTTAGATTTTTTTCTCTCATCTAAACAGGCAAGAAAGTGAAGACATAAGTTCATTGTCTTTGTTTATGTGAAATATCTATTCATTTGGCGTGTTTTGTTTTATAAAAAGGACTGAATTTGTTGGTGTGAACACTGTGAACTGATTGTTGAGAAGGTTTTGATAAATAATAATGGTGATTTATTGTGTCGCCTTTGGATGCAAGATCGAGCAAGACAAAAGAAAATTGTCATTCCATGGGTAAGTTGAATATTGTTCAGATTTTTTGAAAATATAGTTCTTGAAATGATCATCAGTTAGGTGTACAATGTTCCCAGTCTCAGAATATGTTCAAAAACTATACCTATATTATTTGTCAAAGTTAAATACTCCCATGACTTTTCCATAAACATATTAAGTAATATTATTTGTTGCAGTTTTCCATTCAGACATTCTTGAATTATGGATTAAGGCAGTTGGTAGAGAGAATTGGACACCATCTAAAACCAGCAAGATTTGTAGAGAGCATTTCCTGCCAACTGATTATTTATTTAGACATACCAGGTACTGCTAGGTTATTGAAACCAGATGCTGTATCCAGTATATTTCCATATCCTGAGCATTTGTTACCAAAAAATACTGATCCTTGCTAGCTAGTAATTTATTTTCAGAATGCATCTGTGGAAGTTCATAACATTGGGTCCTAAGGAAGATATTTCTCATATTATGGACTTTACCTATGGCTTCCAGCTCCCAAGTTTCGAAGTTCATCAATAAAAAAACCCAAACTGTTCCATTGGAGAAGGATATTGTATTGAGAATTGTATTTTTTCCAATATCTAATAGGGATAGGTATGTTTGTAGGCAGTGACCTAATGGTAAAATAGGAACCTATGGAAATCATGCTCAAAATGGACCTTAGGTAGTCAATACCATTCAAGAACCTCTTTTCAAATTTTTCCTATCGTTTTTATTTCTCTTCTGATAGTGCTAAGACATTATGCTTCACTCACCCTGTACAATAATTGTGACATTTGAATGAAAATATATAATTTCAATTTTGTATTCATTTGACTTTCTAGTCCTGTAAGAATAAGAATGAAATTTCATTTTTAAGTCAATAAAAAATCAATAATAATTTTTTAATGATATTTGATTACAACATTTTCCTTTTTCCTATATGAATACTTTTATTTAATCACATTTACTCTTAAATAACAGCAAAAAACGGGAAAATATTTCATATAATGCGAGCGCTTCCCATTAGCGAACATAAGATAGAGAGAGATAGGTATCCGTAAACACTGCGGGTTGCCTGAACAATATTTTTGCCTCACTCGTCGTTCACAGAAGGTCCCTTCCAGTTGTTTGTATTGAGTTCATTGACTGTAGGAGAGAGGAGAGAGAGGGGGCAATGAACTGTATGTAAACAACTGGAAGGGACCCACTGTGTGGTGAGGCAAAAATATTTTTCAGGCAACCCGCAGTGTTTACGGATACCTATCTCCCTCTATCTTGTGTTGGCTAATGGGAAGCGCTCGCATAATTTGAAATATTTTCTCGTTTTTTGCTTCTATTTAAGAGTAAACGTGATTAAATAAAAATATTCATTTAGGAAAAAGGATAATGTTGTAATCAATTATCATTAAAAAATTATTACTGATTTTTTTATTGACTTTAAAATGAAATTTCAATATTGCTCCCACAGGATCAGGAAGTCAAATGGATACAAAATTGAAATTATATATTTTTATTCAAATTTCACAATATAGGGTGAGCGAAGCACAATGTCTCAGAACTATCAGAAGGAAAAGAAAAACGATAGGAAAAATTTGAAAAGAGGTTCTTGAATGGTATTAATGAGTGCATTTTGAGCATAATTTCCATAGGTTCCCATTCCTCCATTAGGTCACTCATTAATTCTCATTACTATACCCACTGTTGGAAATTGATTGAACTACTTATTCTTTCATGTTTGAAATTTTTAGGTCTCTCCTTTTTACTTTTTGTCTCAGTGTGTTCACTTTTCTCCTCAATACAATATCCTTCTCTAATGAAACAGTTTGAGTTTCTTTATTGATCAACTTCGAAACTTGGGAGCTGGAAGTGGTAGGCAAGTCAAAGTCAATAACATGGGAAACTTCTTCCTTTGGACCCAAGTTATGAACGTCCACAGATGCATCCTGAAAACAAATTACTAGCTAGTTTTTTTTATTTTAAATAGGTGCAAACATACTTTTTTTTCATTATTAATCAACTAGGTACCTATGAGTTTTCTTATTTTCCTGGGGGAATCAGCATTATTTGGTAACAAATGCTGAGGAAATGAAATTATACTGGGTACAGCATCTGCTTTCAAAAACCTAGCAGTACCTGATGGTATGCCTGAATAATCTGTTGGCAGGAAATGCTCCCCACAAAGCTTTCTGCTTCTAGTTGGAGTCCAATTCTCACTAGGAACTGTCTTTATCCATAATTCGAGAATGTCTGGTCTTTTGAATGGAAAACTGCAATAAATAATATTACTCAATATCAATATGGAAGTATTTAACTTTGACAAATAATATAGGTAGGTATAGTTTTTGAACATATTCTGAGACTGGACATTGTAAACCTAACTGATGATCAATTCATGAACTATATTTTTCAAAAATCTGAGCAATATTCAACTTACCCATGGAATGCTAATTTCCTTTTGTTTTGTTCATTCTTCTTGCATCTAAAGGCGACACAATGAATCACCATTGTTTATCAATACTAATCACAAACCTTCTCAACAATCAGTTCAGTGTTCACAACAACAAATTCAGTCCTTTTGTTACAACAAAACACGCCAAATGAATAGATATTTCACCTCTTATTTCACATGAACTAAGACAATGAACTTATGTCTCCACTTTCTTGCCTGTGTAGATGACAGAAAAAATTCTTTACTACTTTAATTATTAGATAAAAGAAGATTTATACACCAATCCACCATTAAACAACACGAGTTGGAAGAGGACAGGTATCCGTAAATCATGCTATCTTTGTTGCAGCTGCCCCTGACATACTTTGTGCTATTCGAGAGAACGATCGTATCCCTTCCAGTTGTATTGAGTTCATTGCGATAGAGAGAGCGATAAAGAGAGGAGAGAGATTTGATCGATCGCAGCTCCGGTATTAATTTCAGGTCTGATCATCGGCACGCTGATAGCCCTCTTGTGCATCGCGTGCTGCGCGGCGTGCATCCTGGCGAGACGGCGGTGCGTGAAACGTCGCAACGCCGCCGCAGCCGCCCGCGCGGGTGACGACGGCCGCCGCCCTCTCGGCTATCCGGCGGCGGCGCACTACGCCGCGCAGGTGGGGGCGGTGCAGGTGCGGCTGGAGGAAGCGGCAACGCGGCCGGACGTCGAGGAGAGCGAGCGGTTGATGGTCGAGCGGCGGGTGGCTCGGCTGCCGCCCACGTCGCCGCATCGGCTGCTCGATACGAAGGTGGGTGGTCGAGGTTTCGTTGTGGTTGGGGCCCTGTAACGAAGGAATGTACAGGGTGATTCACCGTTAAAGTCCCCCCCCCCCGCTACAGGGTGCTCGGAACAAACGATCTACAGGATATTAGTTGATTCAAACAATCAGTTAGAGATTTCGGAAATGAATTCAACAATATATGGTATGATAGGGTAATGTCAGATCGAGGTGTCAGAACGCTGACACCTTGTATCTCTGTTAGGAAGCATTTTCAACAAAATGTTTTTCTCAAACTCTACTTCTTTCCCGTTTTTCTATCGTCTATCACATTTAATGGCATTCAACCTGGACCACCCTGTATATAAAAAAATCGGCTATATCTTCGTAGTCGGTTGACATTACCCCATCATACCATATATTGTTGAATTCATTTCCGAAATCTCTAACTGATTGTCTGAATCAACTAATATCCTGTAGATGGTTTGTTCCAAGCACCCTGATTTTCTGATGTATCCGAAAAAATATTCATGAAAAATCCTTTCAAATAATAATTTGTCTTTATTTGTCAAAAAAAAAAAACAATTATACAGAGGGCAAATGGGCGGAAGTCTAGTCATGACCAGACGAATCCAGTCAATTCCTACTCATAGTTTTCAAAACTTTGCAATCGGTTCAAAAATAACTGAGCTAAAGCAGGGACATGTATGGTAAATCATCCTGCAAGTAGTTGGAAAATTCAGGGTGTCCGGAAAGGTCATGTCGTGAATGATAGATAGATAGGGCTGATAGGTTGAGCCGAAATAATTTTAGTACTTAATATAAACAAAAAATTCAATCGCACTTCGTCATTCGTGGTCGATCATAGATCAAAATAAGTGAGGTGGTAGAGAGGGTCACTTGCCATCAAACTAACCGTATAATATGTGGTTATCCAATTGTTGATGGTTCAAAAGGTATTCAATTTTTCTGAAAAACACGACCATTTGAAAAAATTAACTACAAAAAGGCTGTTCTGAATAACCCCGTATGTTATACAATTTCGAAATCTGTATTAAATGGGCAACTTTTGCTTATAGTTGGTTATCTCTGTGGGATTGTTTTTAAATCTAATAGCGGCATTGAAAAATCAATCGAATTGAATATTTCTTTCAACAAAACTTAAGAAAAACGAACTTTTTCTTCATTGATAGGAAGTAAAAAACAGGTCATTTGAATTATTTCTGGAGAATGGTACATCCATGCGGATGAAATTTGTAAAATAACAAACCATAAATGTGACATAGTTTCATTGTAATCAATTCCTTCATCTTTTGCCTACAAAAATAGTATACTTTATCTTAATCCCTGTCTTGTACCTTTCTGGAGGAAATCGCATCCTATTCATTTATTCAATAACATGTAGTTGTCAAAAGGGATATCAATTATTTTTGACAGTATTTAACACTTTGGTAACACCATGGATAAGGTAAGTAAGTAATGATGAGTATGCAGATATGCACTTCATGTATTGACTTGCAGAAAAATTCAAGGTCAATAACTCCGTAACAAAATGCAATAGACATTTTTTTATATGAAGTACTAATATTATTTGGCTCACTCTATCAGACCTTTCATTTACGACATGATCTTTCCGAGCATCTAATATTTCTACAAACATTTTGAATATTGAAATGCGGCAAAGTTACAATTTTCTCTTGGAATGGTTCCATTTATGATGTGGACCACAAAAGCGCCAGTCTGTCCGAGCAGTCTGGGGAACGTATATGGGGGAGAGCGGTGGAAAATTGCTAAGTTTCGAAGGTAATCAACTTCATTAGCACACACTACACTATTTTACCACTGACCAAACCTATTTTTCAACGCCTCAACATTTATTGAAACTAAGATTCTCGTAAAATTGCTCTCCTAAAACTAAAGGTGGATTCATGCAACATCAACTAAATTATAATGAATTTAAGATTTAAACGAATTTTAAATTGAAAATATATGGGTGTTTATGCAATAACCTTTCATCAGCTGTTAAATCTTTTTCCAGCGCTGCTAGCGCATAGTTTTATATTATTGGTTTAAGTTTCAAATTCATTTAAGTTTTAAATTTTGCTTGCATGAATCCACCTTTAATCTCCTCCTGAAGATGCTAACATACCTACCGATATTTCATGAATACTAAATAACATTGATTACCTTTGAAATTTTACAACTATGCCGCTCGCCTCTCATGTATCTCTCCCTAGACCAGCTAGACAGACTCGCGTTTTCGTATTCCACACCGAAAAGAAACCATTCTTAAGAAAAATACTGTACGGAGGCACGTTGAAATGTATAATATAAATATATGCTCGTATAAGATGGCCGGCGGAAAGAATGTTAGCCCAGAGCACAATATAAATGTTGCGATCATCAACTCTGTCTGTTGAAAACGAAATCAAATGCGCTCTCTAGAAATTGTGGTATCAGTTCAAACGTGCAGTTAGTCATATTGTTCGTGACTTGATGAAAGCTACGTAATCTGCAATACCGATTGTTTAGATAATCTAAGCGTACTGAACGTCTTCATCTTCTCCCTTTCGTACCCGGTTTTCTTTGACGAGTCGAAGTATACAGGGTATGTCACGACGAGCTTACACTATCTCGACATCGAGAATCAGTCGGGAGAAATCCATGAAAATATGCATGCTCATATTTTAGAATACGCTGTCTTCATTTCAAATATTTTCAGCAATGTAGTGTTGATGCTTCTATCAAAAAGTAGCAACAACTTTGATATTTCAAATAGAATACCCTGTATTTTATTGCAGATTTAGATCCTCCCTGAAGAGCTGATTTCATCGATACATCTATCAAAATGATTACAGAGATATAGGGTGTTCAAAATCGAGATTTTTCAACTTTAGGGACTGTTTGTGTCGAAACTATTCATTATCGGCCAAAACGGCTCACATGTTCCTATCTCAACTTTTACCAGGTGACCAGAATTCTGAATCTTGAATCACCCCGTATCTGTTCCGATTAAATATCAGTGAATAGTAAATCAGAAGTTGAGATAGGAACATGTGAGGCGTTTTGACCGATAATGAATAGTTTCGACATAAACAAATCCTTAAGTTTAAATATCTCGATTTTGAACACCCTATATCTCGGTAATCATTTTCGATAGTACCCAAGTGTGATTGATATATCAATGAAATCAGCTCTTCAGGGAGAATCTAAGAATGCGATGAAATACAGGGTGTTCCATTCAAAATATCAATGTTGCTACTACTTTAGTAGAAGAGGCAATACTGCTAAAATATAAGCATGCATGCACATTTTCATGGATTTCTCCCGACTGATTCTCGATATAAAGATAGTGTAAGCTCGTCGTGACATACCCTGTATGTAGTAGTGTATATGCAATATGCTGAATATAAAATTTTTTGGTTAGGGAAGTGAACAGTTTCGAAATGGATATGCAAATGGTTGCACTACACCTCTGATGAATGGTCACCTTCACATCACGGAAAATCCACAAGTAAGTTCATTCTCAATTTTTTCTGAAATCTTCATAAACAAAAATGAGTTTAGAAAATTAGGATCTCATGTTCTGAAAATCAATTTTTTTTCATCAAATATGTAGAAATTTTCTTGTGTAGACACGGCCATTACTCAGGAACATCCAAAGTAATTGAAAAAACTTCACAAATGACCACATGTTTCCCTGTATATGTGAATCCAGTCAATGTTAGGTTAATTTATTGTGAGAGTATCTCACTTGAAGAAGCCAAACACTAAACACATCGTGTTTTTAAGTTGTTCGTGAAGTTTTTCACATTCAAATGCACAACGTGTCTCACTTTGAACGATCTTTCCCCCCTCCATATCTCAGCCATTAGTCGTGCTATTCGTACCAAATTTGGACCAGTATGAATAACCATCAATATAATCAGTTTTTCAGAGACAAACATCATTATCGACAGTGCCGTGTGTTTTTATTGAAATAAAAAAAGTCGATTTTTTATGAAATCATATTAGCCATTTTTTGCAGGAAAACTAACTCCATAGTATTGTCCCTCATGCTTTCGAATGTCCATATGCAAGAATTTAATTCATTCCAAATTACCAGGTTCGGATTTATTCTTTCATATTTTGCCTGGAAATTAATTAATTGCAAATTTTGGAACGCTCAGAAGCTCCATTAGGTAGAAAATTATATTTTGAAAGAACAAACAAGATATACTTTTATTTGGTAATCACCAATTTTGAGAAAATAATTATTTACGTTCGCAGAAATGCTGTAAATGTGCCTTTCTTTCAAACCCTTCAAAGAAATTACATGAAAAATTCACATATGGAGGTTCAAAACTATGAAGAAAAATATTATGAGGCTAGTTTTTCCGTAAAAAAAGTCTGATTTAATTTCATATAAAATCGACCCCCTTTTATTTCAATAAATACATACGGCACTATCCAAATTTATGTTTTCCCTGTGAACCTGAACATATTGACAGTCCAAATTTGGCAAGAATTAATAGCTGAGATATAGAGGGGTCCATTTAAATTGAGCCACGTATAATAATTCTTGATGCTCTTGCTTCTGAAATGAAAAAAATCCTATTTGAAGTGGGTCGACCTCTCATCATCATTTGTCAAAACTTGCAGTTCAATCAGTACCGAAGAAACGGTCCTCATTCCGCAAAAATCCCGCTGATCTCGCGATACACGGAAGACGCGAACTCCAACGTGAAACCGTCCAAGTTCCACGATCTGGACCGCATATTCGAGCAGTCGAAAACATCGAAATCGCCCGACCGTCATCGCCGATGCGACCCGCACTTCGGCGAACAAGATGGCGACTCGCGCAGGAGCTCTTCGTGCTCGTGCGACGACGTTCGCTCTGTGGAGTCGGGCGATTCGTTGAACGCCACTCGAACGACCTGTCTGGACGACACGATGAAAAGTGCGGCGAACAATTGTAGAAGGAATTCGCCGCTCGTGGGCCCTAACGGATAAAAACGACCTTGATAAGAGGTAACGAGTCGAAACATGGTCCTTCGAGACCGGCTGAGTCGATGTTTGCATGGAAAACTTTCACCCTAGCGTCTAGCCCTAGCACTAAAGCGAAGAATTATTGCCGCCTTGCTTCGGTGGGCGTGAGAAGCATGAAGAAACAATAATAAAAAACATGAATATAAAAATATTGTTGTAAAAATACAAAAGGTATGTAAGTTACTTCATAACGCGTCACCTGCTACATATTCCGATACCGAATTATTATTTTGCCAAATAACTGATTGAAATTCTCTAATAACCTCAGAAAGTTCATTTCAGATATAGGGACGAAAATACAAGTCCCCTTACCTCTTACCTATAAACGTAAAAATCCATCGGTGAAGAGAAAAAAAGGGGTTGCCATAAAAAAATCAAATTTTCGAGATAGAAAGATTTGGGCTTCGATTTCTGAGCACCCTGTATATGTAGTTTGGCCTATTTCGGTTGAATTATGAAAAAATATTCATAAATATCAACTCAGCTGATCATGAGGGACCCTGTATTTTTGTCAGAATCTCATAATTTACAGATCGTCTCCGGTTTTCTGTTGAAATTCTTCCAATATTTACTGCCTTTACAAAACAGTTGTCCAAAGTGTACAGCTTTACATGAAGTAATAATTATTGTAGATACTTTTCTTTTTAACTGAATTTATTTTGAGTTCCATCTATAATAGTTTTTTTTTTTCGGAAAACTACGATTTAGTTATTTTTTACATATAATTATTGCTCAATATATACAAAATGTCGTCTCAGTATCCACACCAACTCATTCAAGTTGTACTCAGTATAATATCCGACACTTCTCCACGAAATACACTCCTGATGCAAATTCATTTCATGACAATGTTGGTGTGAATATATAATTCTTCATTATGACTATAGTTGAAAACCCGTACCTGAAAACATTAACATAGTTCTAGTTACAAGTAAGTTAAGTAGTTGACTAAGGTATATTTGATATTTGTATAATCATCAATCATTATCATAAACAGAGCAAAAAATCTGAATCTAATCTGAAAATCTGGAATAGAATTTGGAAATTTCACCTTTATACTTTATAGCTTGATTGATCTAGACCACAGCATAAGACCTAGCTCAAACATCCCTGGCCACTTGTTTAAACTAGTATTCCTCAATGGTTGGACGTTTTTATTTTGACATTTGCGTGAAGTTTCAGTGGAATTGGGATTATTTCTTAGGCTATATTCCGAATTCAACTGGTCAGTACTGTCAGTTGATCCACTGACTTTGCTGAAAATCTTTGTCCGAAATATAATATCATCAGTAGTAGTTTCTCGTTTATCTGAACTAGATGTTTAGCCTCCTACTTGTTATAAATTTTGTAAATTTAATATTTAACTTGGAAGAGAAATCGATTCTTGATTCCAGCTCGAGTGATGAAGAATAGTTGTATGTACATTTTGTTGCCATCAATTTTTCATGATGCATCAGATTGAGAATTGAGATTCATGAAAATCGCAATATGCCTTAATAATGATTTAGGAGACATTCCAGGTTTATTTAGCCAATGCTGCTCCTTTCCTTACCTGCTCTACTACTTCATACTCCAGGTATTTTCTGATATTGAGATTGATTTCATTAACAACGGAAATGAATGTTACATTCCCTCCCATTCCAAAATATGACAGTTCACTGAAGCCACACTACCATTTGATACTCAGCAATTCCAGCAGAATGTTGAGTCGAAATATTTGGAATGAATAGTATGTCTGCTGACAAGCATCTGTCACTTCCAGTAAATTTTTTGATTTCGGAATGGAAAATCAGCAGATTCAGTACTGTCAGTTGAATTCGGAATATAGCCTTAGATTATAATATTCATCAATATCTAAGTTTCATCATCCAGTCATTGTCGTTCTAGATGACAACCTAGTTAGGTAGTTAGTAGGCAGTGGGGATTGGGGATACCATTTCTTGATAATTTTACACCTCCACCTCTTGGAGTGCGAAGTTTTCAGATGACAAACTTCAATAGAAAACCAATACTAGAAGAAATAATTAGGTATACTTGTAATTTTCAAGGATACGAATTCAAAGTTCAACACATCCACAGAGACGCAGTTATAAGTTAATGACAACTATCAGAAATCTTACGAAAGTATCTTCTTCTTCATCGCCTTCGTGTCAAATATCACGTCAATGATGGAAAAATGATGGAAGTAAGATATGGTGTAATTACTGATGCGCTTTTGTTTCAGATATTTTACTCGACCTCTCGAGAACTGTGAGAGCAATGGTTCCGTCGATCTTCTAATAGATGGCGACATTGCACAATTATGATATCTGTCAGTTTTGAAATTGCCGCAGATTTTTCGAATTCAGAGTTGAATAATCCCACTGTTACATATGTTCCGCGTACGTACCTAAAATGCCATTTGCCATTTTATTTTCACTCGTCACAGCAACAATAGCAGCATCACCATCTAGCGGGAAAATGTAGAATCAACCTCTCGCTCGTTGTGACGTTTTATCATAGTAGGCGGTCGAGTGATTTTTCTAAAATTTTCAATACGTAATAATTGCCGAATGCGCGCACCATATATTACTTCCATCATTGATGGAAAGCACGTCTGTGGTTGAGTACATATTGGAGAAAAATAGAAGAAGAGAATATCAACCTAATATGGTCTATTTTGACATAAACAAATGAGCTCTTTCCATATTCTCGTCCCCAGCGCCACTTGACAGACAGACATATTTGGATTCACTGAACAGACAATATTATACCTCCTCGCACTAGGTCGCCTACTAGGTTTTCATTTAGATCGACAATGCTCCAGTAGTTGACGATGATATACGGGGTTGTGCTTTTTTTCTATAATACCTTTCGGAAATCTTTTCTGCAGCTCAATTTCTATACATCCTTATTCATGACTGGTGAAACTATTATCGTTTATGCTGGGATTATAGTCCATAAAAAATATTCCATTTAAATATCACCAAACCCATGAAATATAGATTATTCAGAAGCACCTGGGTGTCCTCCATCTACCCTTACTGTATGCGCATTTCTTAATGAATCACCCTGTATAAGCATCTCACATTCAACCATGACTCATGAGCAAGGAACTTACAGTTCTCCAGTTATTTTTTGAGGATATAATTTGTCACTTGACTCACCTGAACTTGGTTGTAAAACTTCCAACTGCAAAAAAAATAAAAATGCTCAAAACGAAAGGAATATAGAACTAACTACAAGTTCTGGCAACAGTCTGAAAACGGCCAAATACCTCGGAAATTGTTATCAGATTTGTTCACAGGCTGGTAGGTAAGACATTGTGTTCAAATCGAAAATGACAAGCCATTATTGCCAAATTAACCGTTTTTCTGAAAATAACAGCAAGTTCTACGTTGGAATATCAATGATGAAGCCTTGTTTTTTTGGGCAAATAAAATTTTACCATCATGTTCCAATTGCTCTGTTTAGGATAAGTGTGTTTTCTTGTGTGCTTGAGAGAGAAAGTGACAGTGTGATCGTGCTTTTTAGAAGCATAGTTTTTTGCAAAAATATAAAGTGTGTACAACTGTGTATATAAAGTACTTGTTATAATGTTTAATGTTACATATTAAATGGAAACAGTGTTGTTTATTCTCTATTACATGTTACCACAGATATTTATTTATTGAAATATCCAAAGAATAATCCATTGTTTGAGAAGAATGCAGTGTGTACAAAATTCCGAATGAATTCAGAAGTGTAATTTATGTCAGGTTGGTGTGGTTATGTGCCTTTTAGATTGTACAAAATCAACGATTATTATTATTTTTTTCAAGTAGTATAGTTACCATTCTGTTTCTGTTCATACATTAGTATTTCGTAATATTTCAATTATTAAAATGCTCAAGTAATATTAATGATCTGACAAAATTAATGAAATCTCGTTTGGATGTTGACATTTTTCTTTACATAGGTATTTTCAAGCTTTAACAATAATCTATACTTAATAATATTGACAGATTCAAAGTATTATCGTACCTCGAAATAAAAAAAAAAAACATTCCTCATCTACATTCAATATCATCCAGGATGAGTTTGGTTTCCATAATATACAGCGTGGTTGACAGTTTTGGTTACCTGGCTCCTGGCTCATTTTCATAAAGGGTAACCATTCAAAATGCTCATATCTCCAAAGATATTGTGGTTCGTATCGGTCGATTTTGTTGTACTACACACTGTTTTAACAATAACCAAACCGAATTTCACGTGTTTCGCTAGGTTAGGTTAGGTTCCATGTGAGTGGGGCGAATACCTCCCCTCCACTGCGACCCCAGATGGGTCTATTGTGGCTCACCCCTAGAGATTACAGTTCACCGTACAATCCACATCTTTTTACAAAGTTCATGGTTGAATTGGGTGAGATTTGTCTGAAATCGATAGGTTCTAAATTGGTAAAGCCAAATGTGTCGAACCTTAGTCTTTCTAAGCTAGAGCATGAACATAATAATATGTGTTCAGCCGTTTCGTCTTCCACACAACAGAACCGACAGTCCGTTTGTTGGTTCAGACCCATCCTTCCCAGGTGGTATCTTAGACAGACGACAGTGTCCCGTAAGCAGTCCATTCAGGATTCGCAGGTTACCCCTGCTCCATTCTAGGATCTGCCTGGTTATTTTTTCCGATAGTTTAGGCAGGAACGCCTTCGAATGGTTTAATCCTGGTAATTCAGTCCAGTACGTAAGTGTTTTTCCCTCCGCCCAGCCCGAGATAGTTGTTTTCGCCGCACTTGCGGTGACCCCAAAATATGGTTCTGGTCCTATGAACACAGATTCGGTTCCCTGTTTGGCGAGGATGTCGGCTTTCTCGTTACCCTCCACCCCCTGGTGTCCAGGCACCCACAGCAAAGTGACTCTGTTGTTAGCACCCAGGCATTCTAGGGATTCAATACAGCTCCATGCAAGCTTGGAACTTATCTTGCTGGAGCTCAGTGCTTTAAGAGC